ATGTTTTCTAGTGATAATTCTTGTTTCTTTTCAGTAAAATAAAAGGACTTGTAATTGTCCTGCATGCTTCACCCCAGAGTGGCTTCAATACAGTAAATTAAATGTGCAACAACCATAGCATTATACAACATAAACAGAGCTTTTTCATTGAATAATTCTCTTACTTTATACAATACTCCAATAGGATTTAGCTATTTTTGTTCTTAAACTTATTTAATGYGATTTTTCCATGTTAGCTTTTCATCTACGATGACACCCAGAAACTTCACTTCACTGACTACAGATCTCAACACCATCGACTCCAAACGGAACATACAACATATTCAAAGAAATGAAATAAAAAGAATGTTAACCTACGTKAAGTTTCAGCATGGCCTCTTGTTCATCTCGCTCAGTTTGCTGCTGTAGATTCCTTTGTYCCTGCTGTTCTAACTTCTCCTGAGTGGCTGTGATCTGCAATTAGATGAACAAAATCACCGATKGTACTTTTAAAGTTTTGACGTTCGCTGTGAAGCTCGTTTAAGTTGTTTTTCTCAAATAATCAGTGGCTTTGTCATTGGAAATGCGTACCATCTGTATCTTATCCTCCAGCTCTGCTCCAAGGTGCTTCTTCTCCTCTCTCAGTCCATCAAGAAGCTCCTGCAGCTGATCTCGCTCCTCACTGAGAGACGTCACTCTGCTCCGCAGCTTCTCCATCTCCTCTGTGTGGATCTGATGAATGGTCTCCTCATTAGACAGCAGTGCATTTCTCTCTGCTTCAACTTGCTTCAATTTATTCACCAAATCCTCAGTCTGTTAAAAAATAATTTGTGCAATTTACTTTAGGAGCAGGAAAAATGACTTTTTTTTTTAATTCAAAAGGCCCAAATGTCAACATAAAAGACAACAGAAGCAAAAGGTTGTACAGAAAAGGCCTCACCTTTTCCACAGACTCCTTCAGATAATCTTCTAGCTGCTTTTTGTGCTGAGTAACAGTCTGGAGATCCATATTCAGCCGAGTCATCTGTTGATGCAAAGACAAACAATGTTTGTCACCGATATGTCATACACTTCTACTTTATGCAAACAGCATTTCTGAAATGATATACTCACTTTCAGTCAACTACTGAAAACGATTTTCTTTCAGAACAAATTATTTGTTGTCGCCTTGTGAAAGTTTAATTCTTTTTATTTTCACTTGTCAACTGTGGACAGAATAACTTCAGATACTTGTCTATTGAGGTATTTTCAAATCTCCTTACAGGGATTGCTTCTCATTCCCACATTTCTAGTTAAAACTGAGTGATTGTCCTTGTTCATTTCTCCATTTTAACTCAAACCACATGCTTTCTAACACAAACCTCAGCTTGTAGAGTTTCTCTGTCCTCCAGCTCTGCTCGGAGCTGCCGCGTCTCCTCTCTCAGTCCCTCCAGAATGTGCTGCAGTTGATCTCGCTCCTCACTGAGAGACGTCGCTCTGCTCTGCAGCTTCTCCACCTCCTCAGTGTGGGCTTGGTTGCTGGCCTCGTTCTCAGACAGTAGACGGACTCCAACTGCTCTCACCGAGTCCAGCTCTTCAGTCAATATCTGAGTTAGAGATAAAATCACTGACAATGAAACAATGCATTTCAAAGTAGATATAATAGCATAATATCTGCTTTTGAATRAGCTTGCTTTCTATAAAAATGCACTGTATTCGTTCATATTAAAAGTTCAAATGTGATTACGTCACCATTTATGTAATATTTGTGTTATTTTTAATTTTTTTAGTCTTGCCTGGATTTTGGACTGGAGAGACTGGATACTTCTTTCTTCCTCATTTCTGCTGCTCTGCAGTTCTGACATCTGACTCTTAAATGCTGCAAGTTCCTCTTGGAGGACTCTGCTTTTCTCCTGAGAAGCCTTCAGTTCCTCCTGTTTCTCAGTCATCTGAAACATTTACCAGCAATGACTCCTGAAACTGAAGACCTTCCAATAACAAAACAGTCTATAATATTAAAGTGAAGCATTTTAAATAGCATGGCTGTAAGGATGGAAAGGTTAATCAGGGTTTCCCCTAGGATTATTTTTAACTGTAGTGGCGTGGTGTCCTCTCATGAGCGTGTGTGTGTGGGTAGTTAAAATGTGATTTAATAAGTATATTGTTATGTATACAAAGTTTAGTACATACAAATGTTCTCAGCCAGCAGGTTAACAGTTTTAGGAGCTGCCTGAGGAGAACTTCCTCGTTCTCCTCCTCATCCTCTTTGAAACAGAGATCAAAAACCAACATCCATCCATAAGCTTTCTGCTTCCAGGTCAAACATTTTTTATTTAAATGGGAATATACTGTGTACATGACCTTATTAAAAGTTACAGTTTAGTGTTTTTAAGACTGAAGACTTTCGGAGGAAAGAGGTTTTTAAACATCTTTTCTATCATTTTAGTGTTTTCAACTGAGGGGCTTTGATATGTTTATTTGAAAAAACATTTTAGCAGAGGAAGTTCTTTGCACAGAAAAAAAAATATATATTTTTACTGTTTTTTTTTAACCAAACTGACAAGTTTCTCCAGTAAAGTTATTGCGTAATTTAAAAAGGCATTGAAACACTTGGTTAAATTTACAAGATATTAACTACAAGCACCTGAAGCTGACTCAGAAATCTGTGATTTTAGAAAAAATAAAAGTCAAACGTAGACATGTCTTTAAAAGACCCAGCCCCCTGCTAGGCCTGTCGCGATAGTCAATAAATCATTTAATTGCACGATATTTTTTTTTGAGGTCGGTAAAAAAAAAAAATGACGATAAGTTTCATTTTCCTGCTGGTTTACTTCGTCTCTCTCCCTCTCTGTGCTCCGCTACAAAGGAGCTCAGCTGACTCCTCCCCTCCTGTTTTCTTAGTGTCGGGAGGAGTCAACTCTCGCGTTAGCATGAGAGCTCGTAGCAATAAACTATAGAAACGTTTCAAAGCAGAACGTGGCTGCTGCAGTGTCGGATCACTAGAGCCTGAATTTCGCTGCGGGGAGACACAGAGAGAGGAGGAGAAGGGGTGGGGGCTGAAACTCCCCCAGACCTGCGACGTCAAGACTTTACCTGTAGCTCCCAAAAATAACAGGAAACTTAAACGCACCATCAGTGTTTTAACAAAACACCCCAAAAAAACTGTAGCTGTCCCAACAACTCATGAGGAAAACTCTGAACGTCTGATTTCCTCCCCCGCAGCGCTCTGCTTGTCTCCTCACTGACTGTCCCCTCCTCACACACACATAGACACGTTTGTTCTTCTATCCTCATGGGGACTTTGCATTGACTTTCATTCATTTACCAGTATTTTCTATTACCATTTGACCCTAAACCTAGCCTAAACTTTACATAGGATATGAACTGGGCTTATGTCCCCATAAGAAACAGTGGGTCCTCACCATGCTGTGTAGTTTGCTTCATCTCTAAAGAGATGCTGCTCTTTAATATTGTTTATTTACTGTCTTAGTTGTGTGTGGTGTTTAATTTACATTTTGTTGTTCTTTGTTTTTTTTTTTTTATTCAAGTGCATTTTTTTGTTAGACTGAGTCCACTTTGTTAAACATTCTTTAAAAAAATTAAAGTTTATTGATTTATTACACTTACATATTACGCT